TGGGCTCTGCTATGGCTATTATTAAAGTCAGAAGTTATCTTAGAGTTACATAAGTAGGTCCAGTTTGTTCATTCAGTTTAAGCTCTTTTGTTGCTTAAGTCCCTAAGAAGTTCTGTGTCCTTGAAAACTCAAATGATGGTGCTGGAAAGATGGTTCAGTAGTTAAGCTCACTGGCTGCTCTTACAGAAGACTCAGGTTCAGTTCCCACCACCTACATGGAGCTAACAGTGGTCTGCAGCCAGTTCTAGGGACTCCCTCGCCCTCTTCTGGTCTCTGCAGGCTTTGCAAACAAGTAGTGTACTTATATACATGCAGACAAACATTCATACACATAAAATAATTTTTAAAAATATCAAATCATGGGAATTCTGTCCCTCCCAAGATGGCACATTCCCTCACTAGAGGGTTCTGTCTAGAAAACTGCTTTTCTTTTTAAAGTTTTTAAAAATATTTTATTTATTTTTATTTTATGTGTATGTGTGTATTCCTGTTTGTAGGTGAGTGCACTCGTGTCGTGCAGTGCCTGCAGAGGACAGAAGAGACTGTTGGATCCCTTGGAACTGGAGTTATGGAAAGTTGTTAGCTGCCATGTGGGTGCTGGGATTTGAACCCAGGTCTTCTGCAAGAATAGTCAGTGTTCTTATCCACTGAGCCATCTCTCTAGCCCCCTTAAAGTTATTTTTAAGTGTGTGTGTGTGTGTGTGTGTGTGTGTGTGTGTGTGTGTATGTGTGTGTGCATGTGAGTGTAAATGCCCATGGAGGCCAGAGGTATCAGATCTCCCCCTAGAGCTGGAGTTACATGTGGCTGTGAGCTGCCTAGCATGATTGTACTAGGAACTGAACTCGGATCCTCTACAAGAGCACTCCATGCTCTTAACCACTGAGCCATCTCTCCAGCCTCCAGAAATTCTTTTCTTAAAGCTACCCCTGGCAGTCAACAAAAAAAGTCTCTTTTCCCATAAACCAACTTTGGGATATTTAAAGAAAATGCTCATGACACTCCCATTCCTACAGAGATCCATTTGGTTTCATAACAGATCCTGTTACAGCCCCCCCCCCCCAAACATCTCCTGTTTGTCAGTCTCTCTTCAGGGCTGGGTCACGGGTCTCACTCTTTTGCTCACAAAGTCATCTGATCCCTGGGAGTCACTTCTATGGGTCTCCTTCTGCCACCCCATTCATCAGAACTCAGTTTTCCCCTAGTAAATGAAGTTTCCATAATCCAGATGTGGGTTCTATGTAGGCCCTAAGACTATATGCAGCATTTTGTATGTCAAGAGTATATATCCATTTGTGGAAAGAGGAGCTACATATTTTTTTTTTTAATCTCAATCTCAAAGGGTGTCCATGAGTCACAAGAAGATTTTTAAAGACTGGACTGAACGATATCTGAGGTCCTTCCAGCTCTAACGTTCTATAAGCCAAAGGTCCTAGACACGTATTTCCTTATGCCTTGAAGAGGAAGTTAAAGACCAAATATTACCCTGCCTGTTACTCAGCGACAATGAGATGAATCTGACAGGCCCCTAGATCCATGCAACGGCAACTGAAAAGGTTACAGTGAAACCTTTCCTGTCTCATGAGGTAATCAGGTCCTCTCACTGGAAAAGTTCCAGCAGGAGCTCAGTTGTCATCTCTACAGAGTATTATATAAGGAATTTTAAAATTACATGAAGCATTGTCCGCTCAGACCTCTTCTGAGTCAAAGCTGGGTGAGAGCCAGGTTGCAGGTCTTTGCTCGTGTTCTTCCCTCCACTTGGAATAACCTTTTCTCACTTCACCCCTCTCTCATTCTGACAGTCTTCATAAGGAGTCTTTTCTGCCCCTGTCTAATTAGGGTCTGCCTTCTGCCCCTCCCCATATCTCTGTGTAGACAGCTCAGGCGTAGCACTCATCACATCCAAATCTGTCTGCAGGAGGGTGTGGTTCTGGTTCCCCCACTTGATTGCCATTTTCTTTTTTTTAATATTTTATTATTTTTATTTTATGTGTATGAGTGTATTGCCTGCATGTATGTGAGTGCACCCATGTTGTGCAGTGCCACCGAGGTCAGAAGAGAGTTTTGGATTCCTCTGGAACTGGAGTTAAGGATGGTTTGTAGCTGCCATGTGGGTGCTGGGACTCGAACCCGGGTCCTCTGCGTGAGCAATCAGTGCTCTTAACTGCTGAGCCATCTCTCCAGCCCCGATTGTTACTTTCTTAAGAATAGGGATTGTGTGTCCTGTCTCTTCATATCTCCAGTACCTTATAGCACTTTCCGTGTGATAAGAATTCAAAATAAATGTTCAGTAACTTCCCCTACAGTGGTTCTAAGGTCTTATATACTTCATTTGGTACTCTCTAGAGGCATCCAACCTTTTTTTGTCATTGTATGTAGGCATGACGTATGTGTGTGGGGTCATGTGCTTTGGTGCCTATGTGGAGGTCAGAGGGCAACATGTAGAGTCAGTTCTCTCCTTTTACCTCTACACATTCCAGGGATTGAACTCTGGTCATCAGGCTTGCATACCAAGTGTCTCTACTCACTAAGTCATCTCACCAGCTCCCAACCTTTTGAAATTGTGACATGACATTGTCACCTATGGGTGTGTTGAGCCACATTCATAGTCATCCTGGGACACATGTAGTTCAGAGGCCACAAATTAGACAGGTTTTCTAGCTCTTAGTTTCCCCATTTGTCAGATGGAAGCATTGGACTGTGTATTAATTATGTCTGCAGTGTTGTGACTAAAATATCAGACTGAAACAACTTAAAGATTTTGGCTTTTGGTTTCAGTGGTATCTGTACTTCATGGCGGGGAGGGCGTGGCAGAGCAAAGCAGCTCACGTCATTGCAACCAGGAAGCAGGGAGAGGGAATACAGGAAGGGGCAGAGCAAAATATAGCCCCAAAGGTCCTCCTCCAGTGACCTACTGCCTCTAGTTAGGCCTCACCTCCCTTCACCACCTCCCAATAATGTCATATTTTTATTACTCCATCAAGGGATTAGTCCATTCATTAGGCCAGAGCCCTCAGGATCTAACACTCTCTTTGGAAACCACCATCACAGACATACCCAGAGATGTGCTTTTTTTTTTTTTTTTTTTTTTTTTTTTAACTCCCAGTAGCCCCAGCTGGCCTGGAACTCACTATGTAGACCAGACTGGCCATGAACTCACAGAGATCCACCTGCCTCTGCCTCCCGAGTGCTGGGATTAAAGGCGTGCACCACCAGGCCCAGCCAGAGATGTGCTTTACTGACTGCCTAGATGATTTTTTATATAGTCAAGATGACAATCTGGATTAACCACCACAGAGCAGATACTCACTTGGACATTTTCTGTTTTAATACTGTGAGTCTCTGTAAGTGTAGCACTTTAACTTGTTTGCCCTACTCAAGGCAGCACACACATTTATGTGCCACTTATCCTCACAATGCACTCTAGCACTTACATATTTGTGTATCTCATCTGGTTCTCCAGCCCCTTGCATGTTGATCAAGAGAAAATCAGGCCCCAACAGGTTTCTGACAGGAAAGAGCAACAAGGTTCACCCATGTGGTGTGCTTGAAGATGGGACCATGATTCCCTTTACCTTTAAGATCCAAGCTGCTTACAAGTCTTACCCCTGCCAGATCCAAGGGTCCTGGGAGAGCAAGCACACAATACTAGTAGTTGACACTTGTTATTTGTGCCACCTGGAGTATTAGTACAAAATGCATTGACTTTTTTTTAAAAAGTTCAGATTCTTACACTTCTCAGCACAAGATTCACCCCACTGCTCCCTAATGGCTCTACTTTAATGAACCCTTACACAGTGACCAGATTCTCTCCCTGAGCAGAAACCATCATTGTCTGGGAAGCAGATACGCCCTGGATTTCTGCTGTGCACTGGTCAAAGATCAGAGTGGCATACCAGGCTGGGTTTCTCCTTCCTGCCTGTCTTCACCCGAGCTCCTCCCTCCCATCTCTGCCTACAAAGCAGGCACCTGCATACCTTTGAGCACTAACAGCTGAGACTCTAGATTCCTCCAAAGTTTACAACTGTCCCTTTTGTACATGCACACTATTGCAATACTTCCATGGTAGGTTAGGGTTCTGTCTTCACAACTGTCTCTTTCTGGGTAGAAGATTGTCTGGGGTAGACATGAACTCTGCAATCTTCATTCTGTGTCCTCAGTGCCCTGTGGAGGAGAGCCTCAGAAAAATGGTTTTTCTTCCTCTTTCCCTTAGAATCCTTACAAATCAGTGGCATAGGTCAAATGGGTCCTATCCTTAGCTCTGCCCCTCCAGTCTCAGGCTCCTCCCCACTTCTGGCCTGAGCCAGCTTTCTGGGTGACCATGGACTCACCTGGCTCTCTTTGCTGTCTCTAGACCTGGCCTCTCTTGCCCAGCCTCTTCTGTGTTTACTGTTCAAAGACAGAGCTGAGCCACCTGGGTTTTGAAAATCATCACCGAGGCCCCATTCACCAAGGGAGTGAGTGCACTTGGCTCCCTGGCCAAAGCTCTCCATGGCTGTCTTTCACCTTGTAAATGTGTCTTCAGAGTGAGATGCTCTGCAAGTCACTTTTTCATGTAATCATTAATGGTCTTTTCCCAACAAGTAGAAAAGATTCAAGGCAGTCCCTGTGACCACTGTTCTCAGTGGCATTCTGTGCTTTCTGGAACAGGAGGGAAAGGGGTAGAGTTTCAGGTGGCTCCCAGGACCACACTTGTGAGGGGCTTCCACAACCTTGGCAGTGCTATCTAACACAGCCAAGTAGCCTAGTTAGGCCATTTGTCTCAGCACTGCAAAATGACCTATGTGATTCTTTTAGGCACCATCACCCTTTGAGCTCTAAGGCCTGGTAGAAAAAAGGTGGTTTTTATTGTATCTGGAGAAAAGGTCCACCCTGGAAAATGTGGATTTTCAGATCCAACATGTGGTATGGTAGCTCTTTCCAACATTTCAGTCCCTCTTAGGGACTCGAGCAGGTGAGACTCTTTTGACATTGTTTTTTTCTTCCTTGGCTTTGTTTCCAGAAAGCGGGAGGAGGAAAACAAGCGAAAGGAAGCCAAACAGCAAAAAGAACTGCTGAGCACAGATTCCCACAGACCGCAAACCTTTCCCTGTCTGCTGAGCCCCCAGAACCAGCCCAGCCAGCAGACTACGGCCCCCAACAAACAGCTGCCTGCCAACTGCACAGTGCACAGCCCTGATCCAGGACACAACAGAGGGTCTCCAGGCAGGTGTCTGAGCACAGTCGCCTATGAGGAACAGGATAGTTCCTCAGACGTTCAGGGAACGGCCTCCAGAAAGCCAAATGGTAGGTGTGTGGACTCTGCTCTCTGATGCCAACACTGAGCTTTTTCCACTAGCAGTTGAGTTAGTACCGAAGCCTGCCATTGTGTGGTTTGAGCTGTTTTCTCTGGCTCTCCACACTTTTTCTCTTTTGCCTTGCTATGCTTTACTAGAACATTTTTAAGGATTCTATCTTGATTGATTTCTAGTGTTTTTTAATGTGTCTTTTTTCCCTAGTTTTTAGTACTGTGGCTATGGGTATTAAAATGAACATAGGTGACTTGCTATGGTCTAGAAACATCTACATGTTGCCACTGAATGAAATGTGGAAACCTCTTTCACTTAGGTAGCTGAACCACTTCTAAATATCATTGCTGGGGCTGGAGAGATGGCCCATGGTTAAGAGCACATACTGCTTTTAGGAGCACCCTCACCAGGTATCTCACAACCACCTGTAACTCCAGCACCAGAGGGTCCAATGCCCCCTTCTGGCTTCTGCAGGCACCTGCACTCATGTAAACACACACACACACACACACACACACACAATTTAAATAATTAAAAAATCTTCAAATAAATACCATTGCTGAGGATCAGCTATTATCTTTATTTCAGTCATCAAGTATAATTTATAAAATTCATAAGGAAAAGGATAGTATTTTTATATACACATATTTCTGTTCTTCTGTAGTTTCACCTTTTTGTCCTGATGTTTTAAGATTCCTACTTCTAACATTTTCTTTTTGATTGAAGAGTTTTCTTTAGCTGATCTTTAAGGGTAAGTCTGCCAACAACAGATTCTTTGAATTTTCCTTTGAGTTTTTGTTTTTTGTTTTGTTTTGTTTGAGACAGGGTCTCCCTGTAGCCCCAGCTGGCCTGAAACCCTCTATGTAGACTAGGCTTGCCTCAATCTCACAGAGATCCACCTGCCTCTGCCTCTGAGTGCTAGGATTTATTTTTATTTCATTCCTGAGGACTCATTAAGCCAGACACAGACTTCATCTTGGCAGCTCTTTTATCACACTCTGCCACTTTCCTCTGGCTCCCATGGTTTCAGATGAGAATCCATTGCCATTCACAATGTCTTCCTCAGGAACATTCCTGGGTAGCATGTCACTTCTGTGTTCAAGATTCTTTCTGTAGTTTGATGTCTTGATGTATACTTGGGTGTTTATATTATTTGTAGTTCATTTAGTTTCAAGAGTCCCCAAGACTACCCAGGTTTGGTCATTTGCTGGGAAGACTCACAGGGTTCAGCAATACAGTTGCATTCACAGCTGTGATTTACTATAAAAATATTCAAAGAAAAATCAGCAAAGGGAAAAGGTTCATGTTTCAAGAGTCTCTCCAAGCAGAGTCACACACAAACACTTAGTTCCTTTATCAAGAAATTGTTATGCCCAGTTCCATAACCTTTTAGAAAAGCTCCTTTGAGCCCAGGACTCATGTTTTAACACAGAGGTGCCCCTAGCCTAGTGTATACAAAATTCCAGATTCCCACAAGGAAAGTAGGTATGCAGCATGAACTATAGTGTTTGCACAAAAGAATTTAAGCACTCTGGACCACAAGTCTAAGTTAGAGAGTGATGAGAGTCTCCCCACCTCTATAGCCAAATGCCAATACAGAAAAAAATAAACAGTATCTTAGTATAAATTATTATGAAAATAGTTTTAACCTTCTGAACTCTCAGAAAAGGTCTCTGGGATATCATGATCACCTAGGGTTTGGACAATTCAGCCTGTCTCTCTGGACCTCAATTTCCTAAGCTATAAAATGGGAGTATACTGTCTACCCTGAAAGGTAGTTATGGATCTAAATAATGTAGAAGATTTGTTCTAGCCCATGACCCATAGTAAAGCTTTAATAACTATCATTATTATTAAGCTAAACTCTTCACTAACCAAGAACTTCTTTCTATAAGAAATATAAATGACGAAACATCCCACCATCAACTACAATTTCAGTGTGTCAGCAATGAAAACCTCAAGGACAGTGTGATGTTTTTTATTCACTTATTCTTCAACTGGTATTGATTAGGCTCCTACGATGTGGCAGCCATGTTGAATTTCTTTGAGATGTTTCTTAGGGTCTTGACATGTGACTGCCTGTGTGTGAATAAAAAAAAATGCTTCTTAGGGCAAATGCCCCTACTTTAGTATAGCCATATCACCCCTTCAAACAAGGCTACACTTGTGTTGTGTGCCCCCATACCTCTCCTATACTTGTTCTAATGATCATCATCTGTTACTGTTATTACTGGCTTTCTCGACTGTCTTTCCCGCCAGACTGCAAGATCTGTAAATGCAGGGTTGTTGCAGGTATCTATTGCTATGCAACTTGCCATGCTAAAAGTAAGTGGCTTAGAACACCAGTTCATTATTTCCCATCATTCTGTGGACTGTCAGTTTCCTTTGAAGGCTCCCACATGCCTTACCCTTATGTCTTCCTTCAGATGGAGAGTCAGTTGAATTGAATATCTGACCACCTGGATTGTCTGGCAACAACTGATGCTGTCTGGCATTCTGCCACTCTGTATTACATGTTCTTCCATGTAATATAGAACATGTATTGCACGATAATACAGATAATACAGAACATGTATTGCATGTTCTCCATGTATTACATGTTTTCTATGTGTCACATGTTCTCCATGTATTACATGTTCTCCAGCAAGCTAGAATGACTCCCTATAGAGTGGTCTCAGAAAACAAAGGCAGAAGCTGTAAGACATCCTGAGAAGTAGTCTGTAGAATGTACACATCTTACATCCAACAGGATCAACATCCTGTTGATCATCACAAGTTCTGACATCAGCCCAGACTAAATGATGTGGAGAGCAACTCCATCTTTGTGCACTGGAGGATGACTGGGATTTTGGGCTATAGAGCAATCGATCATGGCTCCTTTCTGGTCACAGATTATACACATGATTCTGACACACAGAGTATCTTTATCCCTGTCTCTAATCCCAAAAATATTATCATCCCAATGATCACATCAGACTTGCAGTCCAGATGTGTCACAGGTTGCCTCAATTGGACTCTTCCAATTCCACTATCAACCAACCAGTGAAGATGTATCAGCAATGCTCCCACATGCTACAGTCAATGGTCCCGTTCGGGTGGATCAGGAATTGCATCCAGCCACAGTCCATAGCAATCAGAAAGGCTGCTCATCACATATCACCAGGGCCCCTACTCTGGAGAGGGACTGTAGGATCCTTAATCAGGATCTCACCTGACTCCTCCGTGGTTTCCTGTCATCGTTCTCCTTGCCTCTTGGCCCTACTCTTGAGAAGCCCTTCCTTCCTTTTTCATAAGAAATGGCCCAGGTCTGAAGCCGAGCAGCTTTCTTGGCCTGTTTCCTAGTTACAGTAAATTTGAGCCTCAAAGGCTTATTTTGAATTGTCTTCCCATTTCAAGCTCATGGTAACCTCAGTGATATGAGGGTCTCAAAATATCCTGCGTTTCCCATGGAGAGTTCATTCCCTGTTCGAAAAACCACATCCATGATTATTTTTCAAACAGCTTCTTGAGTGAGGACATATTTCTGTGGGAAGTTGTCCTTGAGATGTTTAGAAATCTCAAGTGCACCACCTTAAACTGTTTTTGAGACTTCAATAAAGAGCTGTACAGTTATACTCTTGAACTGATCTTTATCTTGAGGCCATAGCTCACACTGAGACTGGTTGGCTGGAAAGAATAAAATGTTAAGTAGCTTTATTTTCTGACCCAGCACATTCTAAGATCTTTATTTTATTATTTTATTTTTTCTGTCTTTTGGAGACAGGGTCTCCTGTAGCCACAGCTGGCCTGGTACTCACTATGTACACTAAACTGACCTTGAACTCAGAGATCCGCCTACCTCTGCCACACCTGGTAGATCTTTATTTTTTCTATCTAAATTTTGCTTGAAGTTCATTCTTTCTGAAATTTCCTCCCTCCCGCCCTCAGCACCTTGTTTTCTTCAGCTAAAAAAGCAGATTTTTCTTCATCCCATCAGGAAATCATCTGAGCCATCTTTATTAGGTAGACGTTCTGTCTTCTAAATTACTACGGGGGGGCAGTTTTCTCAGTTATTCTGCCACAAGGTTCGCCTTCATCTAGACGCCAATGGCAGTTTCTTTCCTCTTCCAGCTTCACTAACAGTCTCTTCGTTGTCCTCCCAGTGTCTGCCAGGCCAATGCTAAGGGTCTCTTTCTTAGAATTCAGTTTCTGTGTTGGTTAACTTTTGTGGCTTAAAAGACTACCTCAAAACCAAGCAGTTTAAGAGAAACTATTTCTTGCAGTTCTGTGGGCTGAGCAGTCCCTAGCTAGGACACCTGAGCTCATTCATGTGGCTGCTGGGGGCAGGGTTGGTAGCCAGAAAGCCAAGATGGCCTCCTTCATATGTCTGGCAGCTGGTGCTGCTTGCAGCTGGGGTGCCTCAGATTTCTTTTCTGTGGCCTGTCACTCTCAGTACATTCCACCATCTTCCTTAGTGCTCAGAGAGAAGGCAGAAGCTCCAAGGCCTCAAGGCCTAGACTCTACAACTTATGCATCACTTCCACATTCTGCTCTCGAGAGCAAGTCATGTCAGGCCAGATTCAATAGTTGAGAATCTGACTCTTCCACTGGGTAGGCAGTACCTCAAAGTCATATTACACAGACTTGTGCATGTCAGAAAGGTGTCGGGAAAGGGGCACAGTCACTCAACAGGAATTGTCTCTTACTTTGTGTTCCCAGCACCTCATAGAGTGTCTGGCACACAAGAAGAAATACTTCAGTTAGCAGCTGAGTGGTACTAGCTAGGTGTCAGAGATCGGGGGTAAGACACTGGTGATCTATCCTAAAACAAAGTATTTACTGGGTTGTGCTTTGTAACAGAAACCTGCTTTTGTGGTGAAGATGTGCTTCTGCTCAATTCACCAAATCACTGCTGCATGCATTCATTTAGCAAACATGGCTTTGAGCCCCCACTCTGCTCCAGCTGCACTGAATTGCCAGTCAAGGCTAAGGACCACACCATCAGCTTCTTTCCTCCAACAGTGAGCATAACACTGGTTACCTGGAGATTGTGTTCTACTCCCTGTAACTTCAGATGGACAGTGCTATTTCCCTAGCACTTATTATGAAGCACTTTGGGGCAGTTTACACTGCAAGGCCAGCCAGACCTGCTCTGAACTGGATCACTTTCTGGTAGGATGGCCACAGACCCCGACACTCCATGCTGCCTCCATTTCTGATAACCAGTCCTTTTGTCCTTCAATCACAGTGCTACTAGTTAGTCTTCTCCAAGAGACCAGTACAGTGGTTTCAAGCCATGCATGGCTTATGAAATGAGTTTAGTGGATTGGACCAGACCATAGTATTTTTTTTAATATTTTTACTTATTATTTTTATTTTATGTATATGTGTGTATTACCTGTGTGTACCTAAGTGCACCTGTGTCGTGCAATGCCCGTGGAGGACAGAAGAGGCTGTTGGATCCCCTGGAACTGGAGTTTCAGCTAACTGGAGTTGTTAGCTGCCATGTGGGTGCTGGGATTCGAACCTGGGTCCCAGTGTTCTTAACCGCTGAGCCATGTCTCCAGCCCCCAGACCATAGTATTTTCTATTGTAATCTATTCTACCTGTTAAAATAGGATACAATAGAAAATATCAGAGAACACTGCAGGAAGATGGGCATGGTGGACACACCTGGGATTCTAGCATAGGAAGCTGAAGCAGGAGGAGTCCCTCAAGTTTGAGGCTAGGATGGGCTACACAGCAAGAACCAAGAACCTGTCTTCAAAAAAAAGAGGGGGAGGGGAGAAATGGATGAGGGAAAGGGAAGCCAGGGAGTTAACTCAAGGGTAAAGGTACTTGATGTCAAGCCTGATGACATAAAACCCTGGGACCCACATAGTAGGTAAAACTTGACTCCTCCATGTTTTCCTCGGATCTTCATACACGTCTTAGCGTGCGCACACACACACGAGTACATTTTGAGTAAAGCATTGTGCTTCAGTTTATATGTGTGTGTGTGTGTGTATACACACAAATGCATGTGTGTATATGTGTTTGCATGTGTATGTACATTGGGCTACATATAAGATTTATTTTGGTATAGGCCATTGTCAAACAAGTTAGAAAGTTACTGTTCTAGAACAGCTGAGGCAGGAGAGCTCTTACTCATTTGAAGGTAGGGTCTCAGAAAAGCCAGCATCAGATATTAGTTAGGGCGCAGTTGAAGGGCAGGAGGCTAATGAGGCTGATTGAGGTGGAAGGAAAGGAGGTTCCAGTTCACGGGCAACTTTGACCCTGTTCACTTGCTCAAGCATCCACAGTGAAAAGGAAAATAAGTTGACACTATTTTCCTGGGATTCTCAGGAAACCCAGAATAACTAAGCAAAGGACATACAGCTCATGTTGTTTGGCCTCATCAGAAAGGGTGGAAGCTGCTTCATCTGATCAGAGCTCAGGCAGAGCCTGAGACACAGGCAAAACCGAAGAGTGGAAGTGCTGACTGCCTTTCCCTCTATCTCCTTGTCTCACAGATGTAAAGAATGCCAGAGCTTCAGGTCCTTTGCAGAGCACCCAGCACAGCCTCCTCAACACAGGCCAGGAACTTGAGTCCTTGGAAGGAGGGTGTCCTCAGGTCTCTTAGCAAGTGATTTTTTTCTTCACACTGAGTCAACTCTTCTCCTGGGTTATATATAATATACACAAAACATACTAGCAAGATGGGCAGGCACTGGGTACACATTTAGACCCTACCACTCACTAAATGAGCTAGTGATCTCTCCAAGCCTCAAGGTCTTTCTTTGTAAAGAGACAAGAGCAGAAAGTGGTGGTTCACCTCTGTAATCCCAGCACTTGGGAAGCTGAAGTAGAAAGACCACCATATGTTCAAGACCGGCCTCTTTCAAAAAAAAAAAATCAATTCTAAAGATGAATGTCAATAAGTGAGAAGATGGTGATGCCTTCCTTAGAAAGCAGGTAACATCTATGTGATTGTCTATACACAGACTACAAACAGTGCCCACAGAACTATGAATATGAATGCAAGCTCTGATTATATATTGCTTTTCTGTTATGATAAAACATGGCGATGAAGGCAACTTATAGAAGAATTTATTTGGCTTATGATTCAGAGTGTTAGAGTCCATAATAGCAGGGAGGCATGGCAGCGGTGCTGGCCAGAGCAGAAAGCTGAGCACTCACATCTTCAAGCAGTCATAGGAAGCAGAGGCAGACTGGAAGTGGGCATGGCTATAAACTCTCAAAGCCTGACCCCAGCGACATGCTTCTTCCAGCATGGCCACACCTCCTAAAGGTTCTATGAGCTTCCCCAAACAGCACCAAGAACCAAGGACCAAGTGTTCAAATACTTGGAGCCTAGGGGGATAGTCTCATTAAAACCACTACAGCTTATCACTGACCTAATTATTTCAGTTGTGGGGAATGGAAGGACTTTTCAACAAGATCACTGTGGCTGAATGGAGTGCAAATCTGAAGGACCAGATAGGGTCTGTACTAAGGCAGCAGTGGCAGGGTGAAGAATAGGGGATGGCCTCAAGAGTAGAACTGAGGTGACTCGACAGCAAACTGTGGGAGGTGAGATTTCAGCTTTACTTGGGTAAATACTGCATTTGCTTGATCTGACTGAAAGAATACAGTAGGAGTGCCTCTCTGCCTAGTGTATGTCATACCCCATGCAGGAAGAGATGGTGACAGGCTTTACAGAGCCTCCTCTGTGAAGAGCAGAAGTGAGACAGCTAGTGAGCAGCAGTGTGAGAGGGTTGTTGGTTCTGTAAGAAACGGTCTTTCAAGCGGCCGTACCATTTTCACCTCCCTCAGTCGGTGAAAGGTGCCGTGGACACAGCTTTCCCACTGTCGCTGTTTCCTGCCACCCTCACAGGTCTACAGTAGTTTCGATGAGCTCTTTCATTTCTGGTTTATACTTCCTTATTTCTTTTGCACAAATGAGGATATAGATTGTGCTTCAGAATACTTATGGCTAGTGAGATGGCTCTGCAGGTAAAAGGTTTGCTGCCAAGCTTGACATCCTCAGTTCAACCCCAGAAGCCACATGGTAGAAAGAGACCAGATTCCCACAAGTTGTCCTCTGATCCCCACACACTACCATGCATGCTCCCCCTGCCACACACACATTCACAATAAATAAATGTAATATATTGTGCTTCAGAATACTTATGGCTAGTGAGATGGCTCTGCAGGTAAAAGGTTTGCTGCCAAGCTTGACATCCTCAGTTCAACCCCAGAAGCCACATGGTAGAAAGAGACCAGATTCCCACAAGTTGTCCTCTGATCCCCACACACTACCATGCATGCTCCCCCTGCCACACACACATTCACAATAAATAAATGTAATATATACACTTGCTGCTCTTGCAGAGGGCCTGGCAGCTTATAACTATGTTTAACTCCAATTCCAGAGGCTCCAACACCCTCTTCTGGCATGCACATGGTACACATACATACATACATACATACATACATATATACATACATGCAGGCAAACACTCATACACATAAAAGTTACTTTTAAATGTTTCTGAAAACAGTATCTAAATGTATATTCATTATCTATCTATCTATATCATCTATCTATCTATCTATCTATCTATCTATCTATCTATCTATCTATCTATCATCTATGCTGTCTCTCTTGCCCTGTTGTCTTATCTCCTCATTGGCCTGTATATTTCTGATTGAGAGCTGAAAAATGATATAAAAAACTATGGCAGCAACTTGAGGCCTATGATGTTAAAGTTGCCAAGCCACAATTGACACCAGCATGACAGGAGCATTAGTGATCCAAGGGCACTTGATCCAGTTCCCAGAACTAGCTACTGCCAGTTCATCTTGTCACCCAGCACTGGCTGTCCATGGTCCCAGTCCCAAAGAACACTTAGCCGGTTCAAGGCTGAACGATTTGATCCCCAGCCCTTGAGATCTGTGGCCCCAAAGGCCTTGCTCATCGGTCTGCTCACCAGTTTTCTGGATCTTGGTTCTGTTGTCTGCCTTGCTAGCTCTTTCCCTTCCTACAGACACTTGTCCTCAGTGGGAGCATGTGTCAGTTCTACCATTTCAGAAGTGGGGGTTCCTTCATGCTGTTTATACTGACAGTGTTTTTCATTCTATGTGTTACATTTCTTTTTCAAACACACATATAATTTTACTTTTAATATCGGGGGGGCTATACTAAAGTTCTTGGAGATCTGATCCTGTCCTGTGTTCATAAATTGCTCTTCAGGGCAGACTGTGTCTTGAACATGACTTCATCTTCAGAGGACCCATCTGGGTAGGCTGGGTTGAGGGCATGTCACAATAAAAAGCAGTATTGCATCTGCTTCCATGACACATCCTAGGATACCCCATCCTGAGACTACTTTTGGTATTAATATCTCCTATGGGTTAAAAAAGGTATACATACAAAGGCCAGAGGACTTTGGTTTCAAGTTCACAAGGGAGATTCTTCACCCATCCAGATTCTGCTGAGACACAAGTCCTCTTCATCTCCAGGCACTAGTAAGCAGACTTTGATCTGGACTGTCCCTTCCCAAAGGTAGACACTTTCAGGAGCCCCAGTCTTCTACCTTCCAGGCTTCATTTTAACATAGCCAGGCATTTATTAAAACTGTCCCTTTCTGCCTCCATCACTGCGGCCTGCCTGGGCAGCAGTGGATTCAGCTCACACCCTCACCATTCTGCCTTTCAAGTTTTCTGTTTTCAGCCCCCAGAGACCAAGAGAGTGAGCGCTTCCTAAAGGAGTTTTCCATTATTTGAGTTGGCATTTCTGGAGAGAATGCTGCTTTCAGGCTTCCCAACCCATCAGATTACTAGAAAGCAAAGTTGAACAGTTTTGTCCTATCACATTGCCATGGTTATGGTGATGCTACTGGACACACATGCAGCTCTTAATGAAATAAATGAACAGAACTCCCCTAGCCTGCCATTCAATAGACAATGACTATTCTTACATTTTTTTCCTTGTCCTCTCAAGAAACACCCAAAGGCCCCTCTACCTGTGTGCACATCAGACCATGTGAAGTCAGTGACGGTGACAGGTGTCGGGGAGCACCCTCTGTAGAGAAGCACAGAGGTGAGACCAATGGCGAGCTCCAGTGTAAGGAGGGGCTGAGCAGGGCCAAAAAACCTTTGTCAGTCAATCCGACTGGCCCTGCAAAAAAAGGAGAGGACCTAAGCTGTACAGCTCCAAAAGCTCCCCAGCAGGAAGGCCCCAGGAAACCCAGCAGGTGGCAGGATACAGTGCCCAGGGCCAGAGGTGCCCCCCAAAACAGGCGCACCCACCAGCTCAGAGACAGATGCTCCCCAGCTGGGTCCAGCCGACCTGGCAGTGCCAGGAAGGAAGCTGCCTATGTTGGACAGAGTCCCCTCTACCATCGCACTCCAAGAAACAAGGTGACTCAGGACAAGCTCGTAGGAGCGGCCTACTCAGATTTGCCACCAAGCACAGACGAGTTGAGGTCAGGATGCAAGAAGCTGTCTGAAGGCGTGCAGGCATCTCCAGAGACCAGCGTGACTTGTGGCCCTCTGCCTGGGCAGTGTGTGAATATTGACCTTCTTCCTATAGAGCTGCGCCTGCAGATAATCCAGAAGGAACGAAGCAGGAAAGAGCTGTTTCGCAGAAAAAACAAAGCAGCGGCAGTCATCCAGCGAGCCTGGCGAAGGTAAGAGGGTGAGGGGCAGCGGTCTGCTGCAATCCTGCTGACGTGACACCCTGTGCACTTTGATGTGTCCCAGCCAAGTTCCATGTGGTGGCAACTGGAGCCTACCCATGATACTCAAGCCTCTCCCTTTCAACACCCGACACAGTTTAAATTAAATGGAAGATTTTTCTGCCCAGGATAGTGTGGTAAAGGAAAAGGCCTTGGCTTATAATCACACAACCCAGTTTTCTATTGCAGCTCTGACAGCTACCAGTCTTAGGGCAAATCACTTGGCCTCCCTTAACTCTATTTCCCCATCTGTAAGATGGGATTTAACAGCCGTATCACCTGTCCTCTTTACATGACAGCTGCTGTTATTTGACAATGTGTGCTTTGTACTTTGAAGCACTGTACACAAGCTCTTTTTAAACAAAAAAAAATTTTTACATTTGTGTGCGCACATACATGCACATGCATACACATATGCCATGGAATGAGTATGGACATGGACATCAGAGACAACGTGCAGGGAGTCAGTTCTCTCCTTCTACCATGTGGGTCCCCAGGATCCAACTCAGGTCAAAGCACCCAGGCACCTTTACCCACTTACCTGACCCCACACAAAATTAAAAGTCATTAAAATCTGTCTAACCCAGGAATTAAGTCATACATCATATATCTAAATGAACACTTGGACATATTAGATCATGCCTTTAGTATATAAACCTGCCTGAGCCACTACCAGAGTGGTAGAGTCAGGGCCTAGACGCTGGGGTCAAGGTTGCTCCCAAGGACTAGGACAGAGCTCTAGTGTGAGGGAGCCCAGTGCCTCTTCAGTAGGGAGGGAATTCTTGCATTTCAGTCTCCACAGACTGTAGTCCAACTGGGTCCTCTATCCAAGTGAAGCCTCTCCTTGGTGGGCAGCACAGAAAAGGGCTGGGCCCATGGGGATTATGTGGCTTCCATCTTTGGGGAGATGGACAGGGCAAAGAAAGTCACTGGTGTGCCATGTGTCGGCCCCTGAGGAGAAACAAAAGAAAGGGGCTAAGAGGGAGAGGAGAGAGGGCCAGGGAGAGGTCTCTGGGAACAACAGGTTGAAGACTGCATAACCCAGAGCCAGGCTATCCCGTTTCTGCTTGCCCAACCTTTGAACAATGTGCCCTTATGTCTATTCCCGTCTGTTAAAACTCAACGTGGTTCCCCTAGCCACCCCAAGAAAGCTGTCAAGACAGGGATCGGGCCCCAGGTTCTTAGCGATGCAAACAACTGGGGCAAAGTGTTGTGTGTCTTTAGTGGAGATCTGGCACTAGGGCCTTTTCCTTCCATTACTAGTCAAGTAAGTCTGCTGCAGTCATGATATGATAGTAAAAGTCCCTTATGCTCCTGAGTAGGCTCGGGAAGGACAGCCTGGGTGGCACTCACACACCAGAAACAGTCCCAGAGCAGTGGCTGCTCTTATGTGCCACAGTTCTAGTAGTCAGCCTTTACTGGGCCTGGTCCTCACAACCCTGTGAGACAGGTCTGCTCTCACCCCACCCCTCAAATGAGGAAACTGAGACACAAGGAGATTCATCAACTTACCAACATTCAAGCTGAGGTGCAATGCTGGCTCTGCAATGTCACCCCCATGACAAGCCACAGGTGGTAATGGTCAGTGTTCCCCCACTTGGGAAGTCATGCCAGCACATGCACTGGCCAGTAGCCAGGCAAACTTTGTGTTAAACATCTTGGCTGAAACTAGGATGCAAACAAGCCAGCAGGGTTCACCTTGTCAGGCCCCACAGCTGCTCCCTCGCTAAAAGGCCTCCTCTCAGACTATCTGTTCTTTGACTCCTTTGAAGAGTCGTTAAGTTGACAGATCCTGTCATTAAGTGTCCAAGGTATGTGCCAAGCCATTCCCTTGAAAACAGTGAGGTCAGTGTACACCCATCCAGGAAGGTGATTATGTAGTTCCACTTGGGCTGCACCACTGCGGGGCTCAGGTGTAACTCCCGAAGGGCTTGTGGAGTGCCACATACTGAATGACACACCTGATTCTACTTTCTATTTTCCTTTTGTTCTTTTTTTTTTTTTTTTTTTTGGTGTAACCCCCGGAGGGGTTGTGGGGTGCCACAAACTGAATGCCCCCCCTGGTTCTTCTTTCTATTTTCCTTTTGTTTTTTTTTTTTTTTTTTTTGAAAGAGGGTCTCACTGTGTAGACCATGCTGGTCTCAAACTCTTATCTGCCAGCCTTTGCCTCTCCAGCACTAGGATTAAGGGCATGCAACACGACACCCAGCATGTTTCCATTTTCCATTT